TTAATAAATAACATTTTTGTTAGAATTACTGGATATATGTCTATGAGTCTTCACAGAATAGTTTTAGTTATTATAATGAACAAAATCAGCTTTCCTGACCCAGGATGATAGTAGAAGGGACATCTCAAAATTGAAAGGAAGAAGAAAACAGAACAGAACAATCTGACCAGAGAACTAAGCACTGAAATGTTAAAGGATATTTATGTAGTATTGTGCTTTTTCCTCTCTATAAACTATTATATTGTCACACCAAATATATTTTTGTTCTAAGACTTTTAAGTGTTGTTCTTTCATTAAATATCATTCACCTCGTATTTGTTCACTTTTTAGTACACTGAAATTCAAAGCTGAGAGCATAATTGGGTCTGTTTGAATAATCAAGAGTTGAGCTAAAAATACCCACAGTGGGAAAAAGTCAGGGACTCAGTTATAATTTACCTCCCTATTCCCTGATGCTACATTAGCTATAATGTTCCTCTTTTAAATATTATACCTAAACCTGTTTTAAAAATGCCACTGAGATATGTATCCCCAGATGACACAACAAAAACATGATATTCTTCCTATTGATTCTTTTAGGAAAAAGAAAAAAATTATAAATTCATTTGTGATAATATCTGTCACAGTTTTCAATACAGGTTTTTCTTATAACTCTTGTTATCCAAGAAGTTATGTAATTTTTAAATGCTCTTTTGAAGCAAAACTGAAGTCGCATCTGTCTTATGTTGCTTCCTATTGTTAATGCCTTTTATAATCAAGTTTTTCTTTTTAAGGATTTGCTTTATTATATTTTATTTTTTCAGACAGTTTTCAAGAAGCTGCTGGAATATTTATCCTACTTTTAGTCAGTGGATTCCTGCTGTCTGTTTTGGCACTAGAAATAGTTGGTACTACAGATAGTTTTCACAAATTTATTTCCATATCATCATTGATCAGATAATGAAGCAGGGAAACTTGGCTTGATGGCTGGTCAGTTTTCATTCAAGTATTTCATCATTTAATTTAATCTTAGTCTTGGAAACAAAGTTTGCCTTGGAAAACTATGTTGTTAATCATCTGTTGGATTAAATATATTGTGTGGTCTTAGAGGGGAAAAAATAGGATCAGTGGATAAGTGTTCCTTCATCTTTCTTCCTCTTCTTGACCTCACTCTGTGGCTCCACGTATTCTGTATCCTGGGACATACTGCTTAAGGACATCTTCTGATCATGATAAATACCAGAAGCATTGGTCCAGTCATAATATTGGTTAGGAGGGGGCTCCTCTTTCCAAATAAAATTGAGACTGACACAGAGCAAGGGAGTACATAAATATAACTATTGTTATTTAATATGAATAAGCTGTAATAAAAGCTTATAACTATAACTAAATATAAAATATAACTATTGTTATTTAATATGAATAAGCTGTAATAAAAGAACAAGATAAATGAATGCAATACAGTTGTAAACATTGTATATGTTTTAAATTTCAGAAGCAAATAGACAATTGGGACACTGTGTAAATAAAAATGACACATATGTATATTTATATCCATGCAAGTTGTTTCAGGGAATGGAACACAAAACCCTGTCAAAGGTTTTTTTTTTAAGATTTATTTATTTATACAAGAACTGGGATACAGGCCAGAAGTGTGGGAGGGTGAGAGGATTCACCAGAGACAGAGCGGGGAGCGGAACAGGCAGATTGACAAGAATACACTGCTGAAGGGAGGAGTGGGCGAGATAGGAGAGGTCTGCCACCCCATGTGGGTATCTCCCTGGTCGGCTGGGAATCGAACCTGAGCTGCAGAGTCTGCAGGGCAGCTTCACAGTACTGCGCTCAACCCGCTGCGCCATTGGGGAGGCCCCTGTTGAAGGTTTTGATTAATACTGGGAATAGAACTGGTAATTTTCTTTGGAAAGAAAATCAAGAATTAGGTTTATCACTTTATCATTTTATGGTCAGATGAATTCATTATTTATAAATTTATTTACAGTAATGTATTTATAATAATAGACCTAGGTGATGATATTGTGAGCCACTTTATGGTATCTCTAGATAAAGCTGTATTTTTTTAATCTCCCCAAATTGTTATTAAAAACTACTTTCCTCTAGGTAGCTCAAATGGAGTAAATGAAAAGACTTAACTTTACATTTCATACCCTTTGGGTTTTGTTTGTTTGTTTTAGTTTATTACTTTTTTTGCAGGTATTCCTGTTAATAAAAAACAAATAATGGCACTACCGCTGAAAGAGAGAAACCTGTCTTATTATTAATAATATCTTTTACACTTGAGAGAAGTAAAATACCTAAACTTACAAATACAGAAGATTTTATTCCCCAAAAGTCATGGATACAAAACAAAGAAAAATTGTTGCAGAATGAATTTGATCAATCAAAGGGAAGTAACTGGTAAAATGATCAATTGATACTATCTTCCTGATAAGTTTTGGTAAATTGATTATTAAGAGAATTTAGAATCAAGAGGCTTTTGAAAGTTAAGGCTACAATTTTTTCCCAGGGGAAGATTTCCTTTATCACTTAACTGAACCTAGCTCATTTCTCAGAAAATAAAAAGAAACCGGAAAGCCTGAGGTTTGAGTCATGCTATGATAGCACCTGAAAAATGTCTTTAAACTTGCCCATTGAATTCTCAGAGAAATACTCTTTTTCCTTCCTAAGCCTTGCTTGTCGATCCTATTCCTCATTTCAGTATCATGCTCCCAAACCCCTTTTCCCCAACTTACAGCTGTTTTGGAGGCTTGGTTTGGAATAATCTCTTTCTCTCCGTCTCTCTCTCTCATCCTCCCTCCCTCTGCTCCTCCCTCCTTCCCTCCTCCTCTCTCTGTCAGAGAACCCTTAACTATTTCTCAAAGCAGCAGTTTATTTTTCCATAAATAGCTTTCTTGCAATATAATATACTATTCATTTCACCCATTTTACGTGTGCAATTCAACATATCATAGTCACAGTGTTATGTGACCATTGCTACAATCTGATTTTAAAATACTTTAGTCTCTCCGAAAAGAAAATCTGTTAACAATCAGGTTGTGTTTTTTTAATGCTGCCCCTCCTCAAACTCTAAGAAACCGTTATATATATATTTTTTCATATTTTAGAATTTCATATAAATGGAGTCATGTTCCTTTGTGATTAATTCTTTCACATAGCCTAATGTTTTCAAGATTCATCTGTTTTATCATGTATCAGTTTTTTAATGTTGAATTAATATATATGCCTGTAATATCTTTAATATTAATCGAGTGGTAGATCTTTGGGTTGTTATTAAACTTTGGCTGTTTTATATATTATGCTGTAAGCATTCATGTACAAATTTTTGTTGTACACATATGTTTTCAGTTTTCATGGGTAGATAATTAGATATAGAATAACTGGATCCTATGGCAACTCCATGTTTAACTTTTAAAGAATCAACAAGCTATTTTCCACAGCGACTGCACTGTTTTACATCGCCACCTAGTAATACATGTGTTCCAATTTGTTGCCAGTCTTTATTATAGCTATCCTAGTGTCTTTGAAGTAATATTGGGGTTTTGATATACATTTGTCTGATAAATGATATTGACATCTTTTCATATGTATATTGACCATTTGCATATCTTCTTTGGGGAAATATCTGTTTAAATCCTTTACCAATATTTATTTTTTAAAATATTTATTTATTTATGCATACAAGACCTGGGGTGTAGGCCAGAGGTGTGGGGGATGAGTGGATTCACCAGAGACAGGATGGGGAACAGAACACACAGATCTACTGAAATATGCTGCTGTGGGGAGCAGTGGGCGAGACAGGAGAGGTCTGCTGCAGCATGTGGGTCACCTCCCTGGCCGGGGATCGAACTTGTGCTGCAGTGGTTGTGGATAGCTTCATAGTGCTGCACCTTAACCCCTTGCACCACCAGGGGGTTCCCCCTCCTTTACCAATTTTTAGATTGGGTTATTTGCCTTTTTATTTTCTCAAAACCTATATGTTTTATATGTAAGTCTTTTATCAGATATATTATTTACAAATATTTTCTCCCACTCTGTGGTAGTCTTTACTTCTTGGCAGCATCATTTTTAACACAAAAGTTTAGATATTAATTTTGATGCTGTAATATTTATTTGTTCTCTTGTCATTTGTGCACACTTAGGTATGTTTCTCATATCTAAGACCTTGCCTAACTTAAAGTTATAAATGTTTACTCTAATATTTCCTTAAGAGAGATTTTTTTTCATTTTCACTGTACTTAGCATAAAGGTTGATGATTCATTTTGAGTAACTTTGTATATGGTATAAGGTATAGGTCTGGTTTACTCTTTGTATATGGCTAGTTGTTGTCCTAGTACCATTTGTTGAAAAGACTATTCTGATCTCATTGGTAACCTTTTCAAAAATTAATTGATAGTAAATTCAAAGGTTTATTTCTGGTTCAATTCTGTTCCATTGATCTATGCATCTATCTTCATGCCTGTACATTACATGGATTAATGTAGCTTTGCAGTAAATTCTAAAATTGGAAAGTCTAAGTCCTCCTAATTCTTATTTTTCTACATTGTTCTGTCTATACTGGGTCCCTTTCATTTTCACATAAATTTGAAAAAAAAATCAGCTGGGATTTTAATATAGGTTGCTTTGAATCTGTAAATTAATTTATAGAATATTAACATTTTAATAATAAGTTTTCTGATCCATAAAAGTGAGGTGTTTTTGTACATATTTAAGTATTCTTCATTTTTATTTTTAAAGATTTATTTATTTATTTATACACGCACTGGGTACAGTCAGAAGCGCTGGAGGGTGAGAGAATTCACCAGAGCCAGAGCAGGGAACAGAACAGGCAGACCGACGAAATACGCTGCTGAGGGGAAGAGCAGGTGCAGCAGGAGAGGTCTGCGCGCCATGTGGGACCCTCGCTGGTGGCCGGGGATCGAACCAGTACTGCAGAGGCTGTGGGCAGCTTCTCAGCCCAGCGCTCAACTACTGCGCCACTGGGGGAGGCCCTGGTATTCTTCATTTTTATAGACAGTGTTTTTTCAGTTTTCAGTATCAGGTTTTATACTATTTTGTTAAATTTACACCTAACTACTTTTCTCTTTTAACCTTATTTTAAAATGAATTGCTAGCTTAATTTCATATTAGCAATGCTCTTTGCCACGTTAGAGAAATACAGTTAAATTTTGTATGTTGATCTTGTATATGCAATCTTGATTAATTTATTAGTTCTATTAGGTTTTTAAATTTTACAGATAGATAAATAGAAAAAAAAATTTGAAAATAGCATTAGGTTTGTTTTTTTCCTATCCAGTATGGATGGCTTTTGTCTTTTCTTGTCTAATTTCCTTTCTTGCCAGAACCTATAGTACAATATTAAATAGAAGTGATGAGAGCAGACATCTTCATCTTGTTCTTGATCTTGGAAGAAGTATTCATTCTTTCACCATTAAATATGATGTTAACTGTGAGTTTCACATAGATTCCTTTTGTCAGATTAACAAATTCTCTTCTAGTCAGTATGATGAGTGTTTTTGTCATGAAAGGGTGTTGTATTTTATTGAATTCAATGCATCTTCTTATCCTTCCCAGGAGATCTGAGAGTAGAAGAGAGAGTTTCAACCCTGTGATCATATTGTTGCTCCCCTGGGAACCAGCCCCATCCTTAAATGTTTTCAAAAGTCACCTCATTAATGTAAGCTAAGAAGTGGTTGAATGGGGCTTACTATGAATAACAAGACATTTTTACTGTTCTTATCACTTAGAAAATTCTAAGGCTTTAAGTAGCTCAGTGCCAAAAATGAAGACAAAGACCAAATATATATCTTATTATATATCACTGTATCACAAGATAAAAGGCTATATGATTCATCACAATTATTTTCAGCAATATACAGTCTCATGGCAGCAATCAAAATGGCATTTTTCTGCTGCATTTAATTTAATCTTTTCCTTTGCATATAATTTGAGATTGCAAAGAAATTAAAATTAGATATTATATACAAAGCAAAACTCACAATATACCATATGTTCTTGGCATATTGTGAAATGTCTGTTACCGATAAGATACTATTTTATAAAAAAAAGTATGTTTTAGAACAGATACTCCCTAGCAGAGGAAACACAAGTCAGACCTCAACATGCTTTGTGGCTTTGGGTAAGTCATTCACATTCTCTTGGGGTATTATGCACCTGCCCAGTCTAATTTTCGGGATGATTCTGAGAATCTGAGGAAATTCATATGAAAAGATATTGCAAAGGCAAACACTGTAGAAGTCACAGTGTTTCTTCATTTCTGAATGGCTGTACTCTTGACTTCTGGGTGGTAATAAATAGAGTAGAGTTAAAATCTATTGTAGGACACTTCTCATAAAATATCAATAATTGTAGACATGAGAAGATGAGCCAGCGGCAAAGCACTAAGGGCCAGAGGCATTGCTGTGTTGCTCTGGGAACACACGCAGTCCATAATGGAACAGAATTTTGGCCAAGGGTGAGGGGGAGAGTGCTCTGTGTGAAGATAGCTGCTGGATATGTCACAGTTCTATATGTTACTAACCTACTTGGTATGCTTGATTACTGCTGTGTTCAGAGAGTCTCTGGGGGAAAAAAAAAATAGAAGGACCGATGGCCTTTGATATGTTAGAGTACAATGAATGACAGCAGAAAGAAAACTTGTCTGAACGCTGTGCAAGAGTAAGTGGTTAGCACATACCCTGAAGAATTTCCCACTGGCATTTTTGGAAAGACAGAGTTAAGTTTAGAGGAATTAAATATCTTCACATTATTTTTCCCAAAAAAAAGAAGTTAGGTCCTTAGGAGGGAGCTACAAGTCAATCATCAATATATAATAGTCATTAATTAATAGTAGCTCAGAACATCATGTGTATTTTTATTAACTCATTATAATAATACTGATAGGTATTCTGATCTCCATTTTAGAACAAAGAAAGTTTGGGTAATCCTGCTGACTCGGGTCGTACTGCTTATATGTGGTAAATTAGAATTCTGAAGTAGGTGACTAAGTTTTAGATGTCATGTACTTTGCCTACAAACTTGATTCTCAAATACCAATCTTTGAACCAGTGTTTCTTTAGTGAAACTTTCACTACTTATTCTTTTCCACTGCTTACTATATTTTGATAAATCTTGGTGACAAAATTAAAAGTTGTATATTTTATTTCTGTTCTTATATTGTAAGTCTTCATAAAATTCAGATATCTTTATATCACACTGATGATATAAGTAAGCAAATGAAAAATATTAAATGCTTATGAAATTGCATATGAAAAGTATTATTCAGATCTAGAGGCAAAATAATTATTTTATATCCACATGTTTGTCATTTATACTCATAAATGTACTAAAATAAGAAATGTACCAATGGGACATGAACAAAGTTTGGCATTAATGTTCATTTTTAATTATTTATATTTAAAGCATTTGCTGTCACAAGATAACTCTCACTAATTGTGAAGACTGAAACTCACCTGCCACTTGCAGACATCCTTTGAGGAAACATACTTTCCCCTCTTTTTTGTCTGAGTGCACATAGCATTTCCCAGGGTTCTTTCCATGAATTCTTTTATGTGTACTTTCACTGGGGCCTTCATCCAATTTGTGGCTGAAAATATTAAAGTGGTTGCTTAGAAACGCTGAAGTTGGAAATTTATGAGTTTTCATAAGGTTGCATTGAAGTGTAGGGGTAGCATATGGTGATCTGACATGTCTTGTTCCCTAGCCAAGGAGAAGGGTAGCCTTCTGTGATCCCTCCAATTATTTCATGGCACTTTAAGATGCCAAGCTGAATTTAGAAAACAGTAAGGTATCAAGGCTAAGGAAAAATAGAACATAATTTTTGTTTGCAATATTTATGACTAGATTATTTGTTGTTCATTTTTTAAACAAAATGGAATAGCTTTGGAAATCTAAAATCAGAAGATATGTTTTATCTAAAGGATATTAAAGATTCATTCCTTTAGAGGAAATAGGAAGTTAGAATGTTTGTTAATGTGGAAAGAAAAAAGTCAGCAATGAAATGAAGGTATTTCATAAAGAACAGTTATATCCTAACAGTAAATTTTAATATATCAAAATCTATTTAATAACTAAATACTGGAATAATAATCGATTTTTTCAATTATTCAAGGTTTGTAAATACTAGAGAGGACATCCAGGAAGACAAAAATAGGAAATTAATAAATGACTTAAGGAATTTAAACTCTGATAATGCCCAGGAGTTAATTTATGTTATTACATCAACTTAGTCTTGGGGAAAGCATCATGAACATTTTGGATGAATGAGCTGAATAATTGATTTATCTTCTCATTTTAGAAAAGTTTACCAAGAACCAACTGGTTCAGGCACCATGTTGGAATCAAGGGATAAAAAGAAGAGAAAAACATAGGTTTCTTAGAACCTGTAGTTTTTTTATGACATAGGCATATAAATTTATATGGAATCCCATATGGAAATAAAAATGATATAAATATGCCATGGAGTTTGGTAAACATAGAGGAATGGTTAATACAGTCAATGAAAATTAGGAAGGTAGGCTAAATACTGTAATAATTTTAAAATATTAGTGGTTTAACACAGTGATACGTGTATTTATTCATTCATTTCTATATATTTGATGTACTTGGTGGGGCCTCTTTCACTTGGTATTTCAAAGGTTTCTGTTTTATAAGCCTTTCTATTGCTTACTACCACGGAGTCCATTGTTGGGTCATATGTGTCAGGCAGGCAGCTAGGGACAAGAGCTGGAGGTCTTTTTTAAAATGGCTTAGGCCAGAAGTAGGACATAGTCTATTGTCCAAAACTAAGTTACATAGCCACATTTAACCTCAAGGGAAACCTCAAGGAATAATGAAAATAAATTTGTAGACTAAGTAGCCTGCTTATGACATAATATTATTGGAGGTGATTTTATGTCTGATGAGCCTTAAAGATATGACCCTGGTGTCTAAGTGAAGATTAGGCAAGAAAATTTCTGAAAAAAGGATACAATGATAAGAGACATAAGAAAGTTTTTCACATTTTATAGAACTTATGGGACATTTAAAAGACCAGTGTTACTGAAATGTAAACTGTAGGTCATGATTGAAAGATGAAGCTCCACTGTTGACTGTGAAGAGTATATACATGTATACATGCATATACATATATAGTGTATATATATATATATATATATAGTATGTACATATAGTGTGTATATATATATAAAATAGTATATTTACTATGCTTTCCAATATAAAATATATCCAGTTGCCTACTTGACAGCTATCCTTTGATGACCCAAAGACATACAAGTTCAGAGTATAAAATCAACCGCAGAATCCTCTACTCTGCTTCTTGGTCTGGTTTGTTTGTTCATTCATCCTAGTCTTCCTTCAAACAATTGAAAATGAATCTTGATATTGCCTCTTCCTAATACCACAAAACTAATCTATCGCTAAATATAACATATGCTATGTTCATTTCTCTCTACCATCTACTCCAAACCAATATCATCTATTAATAGAGCTCTCAGAATTGGCACCTAATTCAACTTTGACATTCATCTTTGCTTCTCTTCAGTATGTTACTTAATGACCCATTAGAAACCAAGTCCATTACAACCCACGATAATCTACAGTTATTGCATGCTCATAAAATAGGAGGCAATACTCTACATATGTAGCATGATTATATCATTTAATCTCTTTATAACCCTATACAGTAATGCATATTCCCATTACATTTTATCAACAAAACCCCCCCTAAGGTTTGTAAGATTTACCTTGCCCAGATTTACACAGCTGTTAGGCAGAGTAACATTTTATTTTATTATTTTTTTTAAAGATTTATGTATTTAGGGCCTCCCCGGTGGCGCAGCAGTTGAGCGCTGGGTTGCGAAGCTGCCCGCAGCCTCTGCAAGGCCTGGCCACTGGAGGAGGGTCCCACATGGCGCGCAGACCCCTCCTGCCGCCTGCTGCTCCCCTCAGCAGTGTGCTTCGGTCCTTCTGCCTGCTCTGCTCCCCGCTCTGGCTCTGGTAAATTCTCTTACCCTCCTGCGATTCTGACTGTACCCAGTGCTTATATAAATAAATAAAAATAAATTAAAAAAAAGCTTTAAAATAAAATAAAAAAAGGATTGATTTATTTATTTATACAAGCACTGGGTACAGTCAGAGGCGCGGGAGGGTGAGAGAATTCACCAGAGTCAGAGTGGGGGACAGAACAGGCAGACTGACAAAATATACTGCTGAGGAGAGCATTGGTGGCAGGAGAAATCTGCACGTCATGTGGGACCCTTGCCCAGCAGCCAGGAATTGACCCGGCGCTGCAGAGCCTGCAGGCAGCTTTGCAACCTAGCGCTCAACCGCTACGCCACTGGGGAGGCCCAGAGCTTGTGGGCAGCTTTGCAACCCAGTGCTCAACCACTGTGCCGCTGGGGAGGCCCCAGAGTAACATTTTAAAATCTTTACTGTTAGCTTCCTGAGACTGTATTCTAAATCACAGTTGCATTGCCTGTCAGTGTAGACATTTGAAATAGGTATTTATTGAATGAATATAATGTATGAATAAATGAGGAAAACATGGCAGGTTGACAAGTGACACATATATAATGAAGGGACATGTTAACACATTTTATCTTGTCCATATGGTGTAAAGGAACTTTTAAAAGATTTTTAAAAAGTAATGACATAGTCAGATATAGACTTTGAAGGATGTATACATTATGTTCATGGAAGTTGTAGTGTAAGTGAAAGAGATTCAAAGCGAAGAGTAATTTCATTAGAGGATAAAAGAAATTGGCAAGGATAATAAGGACAAAATTATATTAGAAAAGGTTTGAAGTTCCTTCAGGTTCATATTGGCGTACTCCTTTGTTTCTATAACCTCAATTCCTTTCCCAATATATCATCTCAAATGCAGTATTAATTATATCCATAAAAACAGTTTCAGTGGCCACAGGTTTTGTATGGTGAAATGAGTCATTATATGGAGAATGACTGTTCAATAGTCTTTTTTTTTTTTTTTAAAGATTTATTTATTTATTTTATACAAGCACTGGGTACAGTCAGAAGCATGGGAGGGTGCGAGAATTCACCAGAGCCAGAGCAGGGAACAGAATAGACAGAACGACAAAATACACTGATGAGGGGAGCAGCGGGTGGCAGGAGAGGTCTGTGTGCCATGTGGGACGCTCGCTGGTGGCCGGGGATCTAACTGGTGCTGCAGAGGCTGTGGGCAGCTTAGCAGCCCAGCGCTCAACTGCTGCGCCACCAGGGGAGGCCCTCAGTATAGTCTTTCAAAAAAGGAAATTCTTTGTCCTCTTTACATTGCATCCTCAAATCACCTGTATATGAGAAAGAAATTAATGTGAAGTTACTATAGTCTTGGGTTTAGAAAAAAAAGCACAGTCATGAAAGTTAAAGGACAATAATGGTGTCCAAGTTTGAAAACTTTACTTTGATAACTTTAGAAGAGAGGAAAAGAATTCAGTGCATGTATTCTACTTTTATCTAAGTGTGCTTATTCTGCTTAGTCCTGGTCAGAGCTAGTGGTTTAAAATAATCTGAAATGGGCTCTAAAATTTGATTAAATATATGCATATGTGTGAGTGAGAATATAATGGTATGCAGTTTTAGCTATTTATGTAAATGATCTAAAATAAATATAGCATACAAAAATCTATCTCTCTGTGTATATATGTACCACTAATTAAAATGGATTTCTTAAACAAAATCCATTTTGAGATATTTATTGTAATATGCATGGTATGACAATGTATCAGAGTTAACGCATAATAAAACCTTGGTCTAAATTTATGCTTTCTACTTTAAATGCCAGAAAGCTAGTCATGTAAATAGAATTTGAGATAAGATATAAAACCTAATATATAACAAGCCTATTCGGTGAATACATCATAAAATGTAATCACAAATATACTGAAGACACTGGTTCTTTAAAATGTTACGTGGTCTTGCTGAGTGTGCAGGACCTACGTTTTCTGAAAATATGGAGTCCCTCTGTGCATTATTTAACTTTCAAAGCAATAAGTTGCAAGGACTAGAGTTACAGAGTGAATTCTTTATAGGAGAGAATCTGGGAAGTGACACAGAAAGAGTGAATGAGGGTAAATGGAAAGGGGAATATCTAATATGCTCTTCTTTCTAAAAATGCATACTTCTAGGGCAGGAGAAAATTTATCTAATACCTATAATTTTCCATTATCATGAGGTCCAATAGAGAAAAGTAAAAGAAAGTTTGTATCCACTGTTACATCTTTTTGTGTATTTTGTATTTACTTTTGATACTTATGTTTTTCTCTAGCTTTACATGATTGATTTACTATTGATATACCAGTAAGTTTCCAAAATTTGAATATTTTCATAATGATCCCAACAATGTGGTTACAAACATATAAACAAATACATATATAGATGAGAGAATCATAATTTCTTTTTTTTAAAGAATCATAATTTCTTATGTAAGAAAAGTTAGAAACCTTTCTAAATTTGAGGATAGGATGTAAATATAATGGATGAGGGAAGTCAAAAGATTCAAACTTCCAGTAATAAATGTCACAGTGATTTAATGTGTAGCATGCTGACTATAATTCATAATACTGTTTT